AAAAAAAGAAAGAAAAAAAGAAAACAAACTTCTATAACTTTAAGTATGCCACCACAAAACTGAATGATCTTTCCATTTTCCACAAATTAAGAAGAATCATCGAGAAAATATTTCAAGGATTTAACAATCTATGAATAGTGCTAACACTTGCCTTTCAATTCAATTGGCAAGCCATGACAATCCCACCCGGGCACATAATGAACTTGGAAGTTCTGAAGAAGCTGAGATAAATACAGTGGAAGTGTTAAAATATAAAAAAATTAACGATTTGTTTTAGAAAAGATCGGCATTGGACTTCGTTTTCACTACATCATATTAAAGCGCAATTTTGAAGATGTGCATCCAAGATAAGGGGGAGGGGTAGACTTAAGAAAACTTGGAAGGAAACAATAAAATATGATTTAAAATATTTAAATTTTAATGAAGATATGTGTTTTGATCGAGCACGATGGCTACATGTGATCCATATAGCCGACCCCACTTAGTGGGATTTTAATGGCTTGTTGTTGTTGCATCCAAGATGCGAACGCACAAATAAACACACCCTCACAAGCAACGTCATATAATGTGGTATTTATGGAAACTGAAGCGGCACAACTCAAAAGTGAGATTTACAGAACACTCTCCCTTTCATGCAAATAATATAGTCTCAATAAACCATATACAAAATATGGTTCCAGAATCACCTTATATCGATTGATAATATCCTTCAAAATCTTATTCATGGCATGACCCATATGTAAATCACCATTCGCGTACGGAGGGCCATCATGAATCACAAAACTGCCCTGTCAAGATGATCTAGCATCACACAGAATTCACTTATGAAAGATGTAAAACCAGCATATAGATCCACAAAAGTAGGCCACTAGATAAGCTACCCCTGTATTTTTTCTGGCAACCCTCTTGAACACCTGATTTTCATCCCATAGTCGTTGTATTTCAGGCTCCCTCACAACGGAATTGGCTCTTAAGCCAAAAGCAGTCTTTGGGAGATCAATTGTGTGCTTATACTTGCCATCTTCTTGTTTCTCCCCTGAACAACAATAAATATATTCATCAATTGTAGATATAAATAAGTTTAGAACGTACAAAATTATACTAGTTTCAATTGTAATAGTGTCATGATTTAAGATTCTTGATAAACCTTCAGATTTTCCCTTTCCAGCCATGACGGGCCCACGCGATCTCCGTTTTGAAGAGGAGAAATATTCTATACCGGAGCAAGTGGAATAGCAAGTCGCTTGCAATAGAGACAAGACTCTTGCTGAGGACCCTTTTCTTAATCGTAATAAGCTGACGGCTGTGGTGTTCCTCAGAGACGAGCAACTTTTCAACGACAAAGCCTGAGCAAGTTAGAAAAGCCATGTTAGATTTTCCAACCATAATCACAACATCAACTGTACAAGCTTGTCGACATATAAACCAGAAGAAGCAATTCGTCAAACACTAAAAAGGCATGCTCTTATTGTCGGAAGAGATGATTCCTAAAAAGATGTAAGCTTTACTGTAAACATATACAACTGAAATCCATGAAATACCAGGTGCACGCCATATCAGGACTCTACACTTTTCAAATCAATTATAAGCTGTTTTTTTTTTTTCCAATACAATTCCCACAACTTTTTCCTTTGCCACAAACAAAGGGAAAAAAAAAGAGACATTTGCTGGTCCTTACTGCTAAAGACTTCATAGGGTAGTACCTTCAATGACTCAAGAACATAGTAAAAAGAGAAACAAGTGACAATCAAACATGTGATGAAAAGGGATAAATTAAATGTAAATGGGGATATATAAAGATTGAGTTTTTGTGCATGCCTGAAAAGGAGAAGGAATATCTACCCGATGCGAAGAATTCTGCACCGCCATTTTAGTGAGAGAAGTGATATTTGCGGGAGTCGAGGTGTTAGTGAACTGGGTGGAATTCATTTCACAGTCACTGTCATTGGCAGAGGCTCTTTCTGCTTATCCTTCCATTGCAAGACGAAAAACACAAGCTAAACGAAGATGAAATGAAGTTGCTTTCGCAGTGTCATGTACATGTTTGTGGATAGATTGGGAGTTGAGGGCCAATAGCGTTGGAGGGCACTGACCTCTCAATTTGGAGGTCAATGCTTCAAAATTCTTTTAGAAAATGAAAATGATAGGCACGTTAATATTTAGTTGATTTTTAAGATAAAAAACATTGTTGTCATGATTAACAAAATTGTGTTTAAAATTTAATTTTGGGAAAAAATAAATTGATACACTGACTATCAATTTTGTTATCGATCACACATGACTTATAGAGTCATCCACACTTATTTGGACATCACAAATAGTTTATTGACATGTGTCTTACAATAAATATACTTTGGACATCAGAAATAGTGTATTGACATGTGTCTTACAATAAATATACTTTGGACAACTGTTAATATTAAGCGATAGATGGCTCCATAAAAAAACCATCTGATGGTTGCATAGAATTTATGTTCTAAGTATACATACTTTTTGTTTTTGGTATCCGAAGTTCTAACTTAATCACTTTTAGTCACTCGAGTATGCAAATTTCATCAGTTTGTTGTTCACATGAGTCGACAACGGGTTACTTTCTTCAGCAGGTTTCTCGAAGAGAGAAACGAAAGAGGGTGCATGGATATAAATCATATTCAATCAGTCGCATTTTTACCTCACAATTAAGGCTGCAAACGAGCTGAACCGAGTCGAGCATTGGCCTTATCGAGCGGATTGAATTTTTTTTTTAGGTGCTCGAGCTCGAGCTCGAGCTCAAGCTCGTCGAGCTCGATTTTTGGTGCTCGAGCTCGATTCGATCAAAACATACAAGAGCTCGAGCTCGACTCGAGCTCGACTCGAATTCATAATGCTCGAGCTCGGCTCGAGTTCGGCTCCAATTTTTTCAAGAAATTTTGTAATATAACCATTAATTACATATATATACAAGGGTATTTTAGTAATTTCACATATCTCGATCCGCTCGCGAGCCGCTCGACAATGCAATATATGGGCTCGAGCTCGACTCGAGTTCGTGCTCGAGCCGCTCGAGCTCGACTCGAGATCGGTCAAACTCGAGCTCGAGTCGAGCTTTGACTCGAGCGCTCGCGAGCGGCTCGCGAGCTGCTCGACTCGCTTGCAGCCCTACTCACAATCTAAATCAAATTTAACTCAACCATACACTCCTCAATATTATCAATATAATTAAATAATATCAATCACACATCCTTACATATCACATCAATTTTAATTCATTATTCATCCACTCACATAATTTAACTACTCATCACTTATAATCTCATTTCTCATACTTTTCATCAAATCAACTTTAAACATTTTATTTTAAATATTATTTTAATACAAACTCAAAATCTCAATCAAACCTAACTCAACCAACTTTTTTAAAATTAACTCTAGTTAACCAACAAATTCAATATAGCTTTGGCGTCGTCTGTGGGAAATTGTTCAAAAACCATCAGAGCATCTTCATCCATGGTGAGCAAGAAGATAAAAAACCTTGAAACAACCTTTGACGAGGTGTGGTCGAGCACACGTCCAATAGGAGTAGGCCCACCACCAGGCTTCTCCGGACCATCTCAGACCTGGTGACCTTGATGCCTCACCCGCAGGCTTAGAGAGCTCATTGGCAGTCCCACTCGCAGCTGCAGAGTCGAGCAACCCGCTAAATCACCCAGGAGGTCGTAGATCTAGTTCAAACACAGCCGAAGAGAGTGATGTAACAAGTGATGGGGCCACTTAGGAGGGAGGCCGAGCAGGGACATTAGGTCACGATGTCCAGAGAGGAGCTCGAAAGAATTGTCGTTGCAGCTGGAGCAACCCAACAGGTCACGTATCAAACATCTAAGTCAACCACCACGCCTACTAAGGTGGTAAGAACGAACAAGCAGGACACAAAGGTTGACGAGTCATGTAGTCGAGACATATGGATCGAGTCACAGAGAGGATGGCAGATTAGATCCATCAATTGCATGCCAGGGTCAATGGGAAAGAAGTAGGTCGAGCTAGAGGGCATCTCTTTTCTCGGGAGATCCTTGATGTTGTGTTACCACTGAATTTCAGGGAGGTCAATCTGATGTATGATGGGTCGATAGATCCGTCAAGACACGTTAGGTCATTTGAAAACGTGGCAGTATTGCATGGTTACTCAGACATGGTTTGTTGTCGAGATTTTCTAGCCACCTTGAGGGAAGGAGCTCAATACTGGTTTCCCCAGCTTTCTCCGTGGTCGGTGAAGGACTTTGAGAATTTCTTGAGCGTGTTTCTGAAACAGTACGCAGTGTGACTCAGAAGAAGATCTATTTAACATTGATGGAAATGGGAGAGGAAGGGGGTGTGTCCTTGAGGAATTACTTGGATAGATACAATCGAGCATGTGTGGAGATCCCCTCGGCCTCTGACGAGGTCAAGGCTGGATGTTTGATCAGGATTCTTCGAGTTGGCCTGTGTCGAAGCTCTATAGCCAAGACACCTGCTTGAACTTATGATGAGGTCTTGAATAGATGCAAATAGTATGTTAACATGGAGGAGACAAAAGAAGAGTTAGCGAAGCTCGAGCAGATGATTCGACCGGAGGTTAAGAAGGAGAGGGCACAGTGCCCAAGAAGGATAGGTCGGAGAGGCGAAGGGAGGACAGATGGAAAGATTGACCTCTAAAGAATGGTTAGATATATGAGAAGTATACATCACCGAAAATGCAAATGGCGGAGGTGCTCGAAGAAATCGAGTGAAAAAGTGATGGTCGAGCGGTGACGTTTCTAAAGTCGAGAAGGGATGGGCCGACGCAAATGAAGTCGGGTCGATACTGTAGGTTTCACCGCTACTATGGTCATACGATAGACAATTGCCGACATCTAAAAGATGATATCGAGAGGTTGATTCAGGCAGGTCACCTCAAAGAGTTTGTGCTCAAGGATAGGGAGAAGAAGGGGAAAAGAAGGTGTCGGGAGGATCAGGACGGGAGGGAGGACCAATATGATGACATAGAGGATAGGGAGGACCAAGGTGGTCGGCGCAGTGAAGGAAATCGAGGTCGAGAGCGGGAGGATCGAGCTTTCGAGGAGGATGAGACCCCGAAGAAAACCCTCATTGTTTCGAGATTCATGTGATATAGTGTTATCCATCATAATTTCTTCTTTTCATCTTATTTATTTGATTCATCTTAATCAAATAAAGTGTACTATGAGCTTAAATTGGTATACTGAAGTTCAGATTGCGATGGGCCAACTGAATCCATGGCGAGAAGAAGCAATTATGGATTACAACCTCATTACAATAAGGTTTTTTAGTTCAATTAGTCGTAAATTATTAGAATTAATGAAATCACGTGAATTATTTTTTTACAGTTCCATATAATTTGATTATAATGAGAGATGCCCTAAAAATTAAAAGGTTTTCAGCTGAAAAAAATAGGGATTTTCGGGTATCCGTGATAAATGGTTTGTTTATGTATGTTTTTTTTTTTCTTGAAATTATCTGTGTTCTAATTTAGTTGTTTATTTGGGAGTGAACACATTTTTTTTTTCTTAATTTTCAAAAGTCATTTATCACATGATTTAAAGCACTTGTTAACTCTTCCGCCTTTAACTCTACTCTAGAGTAGACTACTCTAGAGCTGACTTTACTCTACTCTAGAGTAGAGTTCTTGTCTCTACATTTTACTCTACATCAAATATATTATTTTTTATTCATATTTTATTTTAAATAAATTGATTGATATATATATATATATGTATATTTAATCCTATATATATTTATTACCAAAATAATAAAAATATATTTTATTTATTTTTATTTCAATAGAATTGATATATATATAATACATCAATGAATAAAAAGCTACATCTTACTCTACATTAAATGTATTATATTTTAATTATTTTTTATTTCAAAGCAATTCTAATATATATGTATATTTAATTTTATATATTTTTTTTTTCACATTTTTAAGTCATCCGAATTTTAATCATATTGTGTTTGTTTATGTATTTTATGATTTATGTATTTGTAAATTTTTTTAATAAAATCTACTTGTTTTATTGTGGTAAATTTTAATTCAAAAGGTGGCAAATTTTAATTCAAAATTTGGTAAATTTAAATTCAAATTATATTGTGATATTAAAAAATTGCAAAATAAAATTATAATAGATTACTACATAAAAATCACAAAATTATTTAACATAATGGATGCATTTACTAATACACATTATATAAATATTTATCTAAAATTGTAGTAATTACACTAGAAATTCACCATAAATTACATTAAATTACCCAAAAAAAAAAAAAAAATTGTAGAGATATGATGGCGCAACACTGTTCACAAATCTGATATAGCGTGAAAATCCAACGATGGGTTGGAGGAGATTTTGTCTCCACTCCAGCGCAAATTACCACATCTGGCGATGCGCTGGAGTTGCTCTAACACAATTTATCCCCTCTTGTGATCTGCTACTTTTCCTGTATTGTAGTTATAGTAGCATGGTTCCCATTTACATAGCTTGAATGCATTGCGCTTCAATATCATTTTGGGGGTGTAACAACCAAAGTATTGGAACAGTTAAAAGGAGTTTGACAGATTAAGATACAGATCAATCGACCTGAAGTAGCACTGAAACTAACAAAAAATTTCACAGAATACTGAAACTTAGGAAGAAATATTTACAGTACCAAATCAGAAATTTTGACATGAAGTAATGTATTTTACATACAACTCATTGGTCTACAAATTAAGGGTAACCTTACACAGTACAAATCTGAATACAGACAAAAGACTAGAAACAGAACTTTGCTCAAGAAAATCTAGCAAAACTTCTTTCAGGCTTTCTCAGAACAGATCATCGTATGCCAACTAATCACGGGCCGGTTGTCTGAAAATCTTATCAAACAAGACTTTAGCAAGGGGAAAGAAAACCAAACCCACAATCTGAAGCTGATCTGAATAGCTCGTCTTTACAGAAATCTTTCCACTCAGCTTCCTGTCCAGACGGCCCTTGTCTGTGTTAGAAAATCTCTCGTTCTTGCCAAAAATGGCAGATCCCTTTTTCCAGACTAACGAACGCAACTGGATGTTGAATTCCTTTTTATCCTTAGCAAGCCGAACAGATTTTACAGCTGGCAAATGGCATTCATTTTCGAGATTATAATCAATGAGCACATCGTTATCATAAATGCAATCATTGGATAACTCAAAAACTGGCCTTGTAAGAATCTGGCTGAAGGATTCTAAAAAACTATATCCAAAAAGCAACTTCGTACGGTCAAACGTATTATGAATCTTAACTACAGAATTCAGTTCCGATAAAACCTTCATCGAGCAACAAAAAAATAGCAGCCTTGATCTCCAAGTTTCACCGTTAACACTATTTTCAGCAAATGGGTTGTTCTCGACTAGGCTTGCTGGAATCATCTCATCACAGTTCATCTCAACAGCTGACAGGCTGACTAGCTGTTGAAATGCCCGTGATTGGTCAGCAACAAATTCCTTGTAGCTTAAGGGATACCCATCAGGCCCATCTGGAGGCAATAAATCTGAATGGGTGAAAACAAGAACGGATTTTTGCCACACTGAAAGGCCCAGGCACAAAGTGACTGATTTTAGTAAGGGCAAATCGTTGAGGTAACTGAATTGCGTGTCCAAACGGTCGACATATAGGACAACATCTGGTGAGGATTTTTGCATTATTTTCTTAATCGACAACAAAATTTTCCAATTGGAAGATTGGTCGATAGGAGAGATTCCAAGACCAGGGGTGTCAAAAATCTTGACTTTGACACCATTAATCTCACTGTTAATTTCAATCACACGACTCGTGGACGGCTCAAACGCATTAACCATCGTCTTACTTTGACCGAAAATTGAATTCACAGTCGCACTCTTACCGACTCCAGTTTTCCCAATTACTAGGATGCAGAGTGTAAAGTCCAAATTGCCATTTTCTCGGGCTTCAATCTCCACATTTCTAGAAGGATCAGGAAAAACTTCCTGAGATGAGCAATTTGCCTCAGCAATCGACAGCTGTCTCAAAACGTTTGAAGCCAAAGAATCTTCCGGAGAACGACCAAAACCGTGGACGAGTTGCAAGTATTTTACTCGTGTCTGTTGTATTCTCTCGAGCTTCTTCTTTCTCTCTCCTACACTAAAGCTTCCCTCTTGTTCACTATAAGTCGAGGGCAGCACCAAAAGATCAGGATTTCTTTCTTCAATATTGGGTCTTGAAGAAACTGAATTGGAGCCCAAATTACATGAGGCGCTTTCTGGAAAAAAGTTTTTTGTACCATAAACAGATTGAGACTTCAAAGCAGCACTATCATCCAAGTCTGTAGAAATCTGGCAATTAATCTCTTGTGAATGATCTAACAAAATCTCTTCAAAAGAGAGAGTATCAATACCACCTTCCAAGGCAGCTTCTTTCTCCAATTCCTGGTCCATTTTGGTGACTTCGAGTTCAAATTGACTGTCATCAACTTCAGTTGAGCTACCATCGTCTCCTAAATGCCCATCAGAAATACTGGCCTGCACGTTTTCTGTGAAGGACTCAAGCGTACCAAGAAATTCATGCACACTCCTGATTACATCAACACACTGATTAGGAGATTGGTTTTTGCTGGCACCAATCGAGCTAAAGGAATCAACTGTGACCTCAACATCTGGTTTTCTCTCAGTTTCGAGTTTCTCACATTCAACATAGTTATTGGAAAAACGATTTTCCTCCAAAATGCACGTTTTCCCATCAGTAGCCACACCAACTTCTGGAATTTCCCCATCTAAATGCACAAGATCACTATTTTCCTCTGATTCTGGTATATTCACAGCCAAAGAATTAGCTTTATCTTCTCCATTAACATCATGGCCTCCATCTTGGACCGTCTCACACGATAAAACACAGTTTTTTATATCTTCCACATCGGTATGCTCGTTTTCGTCTTCAGGGCCCAAAACATCATTACTTATCACCAAGTCCTTAACAAACTCCATTTCTACCATATTTTCAGCTCGCCACTCGCATTCATCCACGTCATCATCCTCCGACATTCTAACTTTAGGGGCACTATTAAGTCTACTCAGAACATCAAAACTCGGGACCCTTACAACACCCAAAAAACCGTCATCTTCAAAGGCCCCACTGCCCTGGGAATCATCATCATCACTGTCTCTGGATAACTTGGCAATCGGAATATGCAACTTCTGCTCCACTGGGAATTTACCATCCACAAATTGGGTCAGCCCACCTGCTAAATTTTCCTTATCTGCAATTGCCACAACGGGCCTGGACCTACAGTCACTGAAGCCATAATTCTCATTTTCAACTAATTCGTCACCCGAGTCGCTCAAGAATGATTTAGAATCATCATCAGAGTCATTAACAATACTAATAACCCTGTAAATTCTTTCGTCCGGGTTACCAACAGCAACAGAAGCACTAAAGATTGAATTTTTATCAAATCGACTACTTTCTTGAGTAGATTCCTCACCTGGGTTCCTCATAAAAGGCCTAGAAAAACCATTTTCACCTGGGTTTACAGCATAAGGCTCATAAAAATCAAGTTCATGAAATGGGTGAGTTTTTCCAAGATTGTCCTCATTTGCAAAACCCTCGCACTCATCGAGCTCACTATTACTGTAATAGCTACTAGCCATGCTATTTCTACGGCTTTTTGATGAAACTGGGGAATATTCAAAATCAGACTCATCAACGGTAAGTGGAGCTCTAATACCTGATATTGTGTTGTTTGAAAAGGCCTCCATTGCGGCCGAGAGGGGGACACCGTAGAGACTTGAGCCCATGAAAATTTTTCAAACAAAATTTATGCTTTCACTGTTTTTGTATCCATGCTATTGTTTTCTTTTGGTTTGCGTTAACACTTAACATATGCTTTTGGGGAGAAAAGGTGGGATTTTGAAAGACGTGGTACATACATTTTTTAGGGTTTGTCTTTTGAGGATATGTTTTTGAATTATTTGGGACGTTTTGTCTTGTGTGCGGTTGTGTTTCGGGCAAGTTTGTGGTGACGGTTAAGTACAAATGGCACGGTTTTCTCTTGCTATGGAGTGTTGTTTGTGGTGATTGGTTGATAGATAAAAGGATGGGAGTAGTTCTTCTGTGTGTCGTATTGGCCTTTGGCTTTGGTATATATTTGGGCAAAATTATAATTTTAATTCTGATGGTTTGGTCAAGTGGCGTTTTCAGTCCTAAAAATTGAACATATTTACTATTTAGTCATGTGATTTTAAAATTCAATGCAATTATAGTCATTTTAGACTAAGAATGCAATAAAATTTAAAATTACAGGACTTAAATTGTTAATGAAAAATCTTTTTGGATAGAATATGGATTAACAATTAAGTCCTATAATTATATATTTTGTTGCAATTTCAGTCCCAAAAGACTGGAATTGCAATAAAATACTAAATTACAGGACCAAAAGACAAAAAGTTGAAATATTAGGACTAAAAATGCTACAACATTAAATCAGTAGGACTAAAAACGCAATTTTACCTATTTGGAGGACATTTTTCTTTAAGTTTTGCAAATTTAACTTTAAGCTAGGACTTGTAATATTGTTAATTGACCTAGTTTAGTTTCACATTTAATGATTATTTAATTTAAATCAATGTGGAAAGAAAGTCGAACATTTAGATTATCCATATATATATAATTACTAGTTGATGCATTTAATAAAAAATTTAATAAAACTTATTTTATTTCCCTCCGAAAGGAGTTACATTTTTTTTAATTAATTACTCAAGAATCTGCTAAAACCGTTACACCTTAATATATGCATTTTTATTATTTATTTTTTGGATCGGTTACTGAATTAATTTTGGTAGCAAAATATTCAAATGTGTAACGGCTAATGTTGGACTCAAAATTGATTGACACATTCAGAGTTGTAACCGCTATATTTAATCGCATTGTTGGAAGAAAAACATGATTGACACATTTTCTTTTTTTTTCTAAAAAGCAGAAACACCAATAATTTTTTTTATTTATGTCAATTTCTTAATATATGCCACAAATATATATATTATTTTATTCATGCTACTAATATAAACGTTGCATGGTTGAAATAAAATTTAAATTTTAATTAATTTTGAATGATAAAAATAACTTAAGAAAAAAAAGTAATAATTTTTATATGATAGAAGTACATGGCTAATTAACAAATACAAATAAAAACGTATTTTATATCTGTGTAAATGCACATGATCAAAACTAGTGTAAATATATTGTTAATGATATTTTTTATATAGAAAAATGATTACTAAAGTTACTATATAAAAATTAAATTATTAATATATTAAATATTGATTCAATTAGTTTATTCATTAATTCCATCAATAAATGACATGTAGTTTGACTGGCCTAATTCCAGAAATTTGGTTCTAAGGGCATCCACATTTGTTTAACAAAATTTTCATTCATTCAATCAAAAAGTTACACTCTCTCTCATCCACATCATCTTTCCACCAAACATCTCTCAATTTAAACACACACCCACATTCATACTCATTCATTTAAATACATGTGTGACCCATTATTAGCACTGTCAAAACGGGCCATGGCCCGCGGGCTGGCCCGCCCGCCCGCCTAAACGGACGGGCTTGGGCCTTTGTTTGGCCAGCCCGTTCAATCGCGGGCCTATTTGGCCC